AAAAAAAAAAAAAAAACTTAAACAATTCCAGTTTCTGCTTCTGAGTTGCATAATTACATTTCCGATTCTTGTTTATATTGTTGTTTGTCAGTTTGGCTTTTACATACAACAAGTGTAAAATTCTATAACATACTCATCAAACGATACAAACTTGCATTTCTTAACTAGCCTACCTTTAGCGCCTAAATAAATAATTTCTTCTAAATGCCTAAGGGGTTGATTGTATATGGAATGAACTAGTTTTTATTTGGTTTATTTTTTAACTATAGTTAGTTTTGAAAAAAAAGTGGTATGGTTAGTTGTTTGTGAATATAATTAAAATAATATTTAGTAAGAGAAAAATGATTGGAAGTGGTAGTTAGAATTATGTGAGTGGATGAATAGTGAATTGAAGTTGATGTGATGTGTAAAAATGATTGGTTGATATTATTTAGTTGTATCAATAATATTGAGGATAGTGAGATTGGGTTAAAGTTGAGTTAAATTTGAGTTTTGATTGGATTTTTCACTATTGAATTCAGCCCCCTAAGTGTTTGCACGTAGTCCCTGAATTCGATGTCATTAGAATTTCGCTGATTGTTTGGTTGGGTTATTAATAATTGCCAGATGGGCGATGGGCGCTCTGAGTTCTAGGAGGTTAAATTCAGCTTCATTTTTAGGCTAATCTTTCTGAATCTTCAAAATTTCCACAACTTTTCAGGATTGCATTCTGTTTTGTAGTCAAAAAGTCTCGTGATGTGGTTGGATAAATAGTTATTCAGAGTCATCACGTGAGCCTTGTGGTGGTATGGTATGTTTCCGTTTAATGGTGCAAGGCAGTCGGTGGACTTCAAAGAGTCGGTCAGTTAATGTGTTTGTCTCGTGAGGCTGCTGAACAATAATTATCTTCCATTCTCTTGTTTTTGTGCAAGTCAAAGATTGGAGTCATTTTGGTTTTTGCTGGTCATCAGTGTGTTTATTCTTTTTTGTTTTTGGATTTTTTCATACATTTGGAAAGATGATATAAGCCTTAGGTATATATTGTCCATGCATGTTATTTCCCATACTGAACTGGAGTAAATATTATGGGAATTAGTCAAATATGTAAACTTTTTTTTTTTTTTTAATGAATGTTATACTTTTGGTAATACTTGGTGGTGGTCTTATGGACTGCTTTTCATATTTATTATGGTTTTGGGATAAGCGGAATTGTTTTCGTTGTTCCTCTTTTCTGTGGTATTCGATTAAATTTTTTTGGAGCCAACGATTAGTTCACATACCGTCACTGAGATGTTCTCCACCAGTGATATATTGACACGTGCCTTGTATTTATTTATTGTAAGATATGTGTCAACACGTTGTCTGAATGGCATATAAGAGCGTTAACAATTGGTTCTACATCACAATTGTGGTATTGTTTTCAGATGCCCACGTCTCTAATGTCCTTATACCTCGTGGTCTATTTATGTTGCAGAAGAACAATCCCCTCCATCACTAATCCGAGGATTGTTCCTGAAAGTGTATTTCTCTGAAAACAATTTTTCGAAAGATTTCGAACATTCGTTGCAATATCGGTTATAATACTTTACGTGACGTATAAACCAATGAAGAGTTTTGTTATATAGTCGATCTCCGAAGGGTATTTAAGAGACAAAATTACGGATATATCCTTATTTGATCATTTATAATTCCCAATTAACAAATCTATTTTTATATGAAAGTCCCACAAATGGGAGACAAAAATCATAAGTTGGGCAGATCAATGCAGTAGATGTATCTTCAATGTGGATGCTATGCATGACCCATAATGAATTCAATTATACACATTGAATTATTATCATTAAAATAGTTTTGCCTGAGATAAGGGCATGTGGTAATGTTTTGACCTACTTCTCATCTACAATTTTTATTATTTGATATTGCCATTAATTATCGAGGACCTAATTGTATGACTTTGGTATGATGTCCTTCCAACGTAGAATGAAAAAAAGATACTTTCTACACACATATCCTATAACATTTCATACTACAAATACATATTCTTATACGGTAAATTAAAATAACAAATCGATCAGTCTAACTATTAGTCTTTCATTTCATACTGTAAATACACATTCTTATTCAATAAATATAACAGATCGATTCGTTTAACTATTATAAGTCATTCTAACATCAACGTTAGCGTCTTTGTATTAATGAATACATTCGTGTATTACATTAAGCACACGTGCAAGACAATCTAACGAAAGTATATCACCTGTGTCTGGAAGTATGAATATTTGTTGAGAAAGTATGGACGTCTAACTAGACCTTAATTACAAACTCTAGTGGAAATCGATAGTAGGACCACGTTTTTTTAATTTTTAATAACATCTAGGAGCAAGTCCAATGTTGTGCTACAATGCTATTCTACTTCAGAGTTGTGCGAAAAAACTCGTTCCAATACCGCACTACATTTTGCCCTACTCTGATTATATGAACTGCATGTAGCGCGACACTATTCACGCGCTACAATTTTTTTTTCCTGCTTTTATTTTCTTTTTAATAAGTTTTTGTTCCATATATTATTCTGACAAAGTATACGTTAATAAAATTAATTATTGTATTAAAAAAAATTGATTTAATTTTGTATTTATATATTTTTATTGTATTAATATATTTCATGTAGAGTAAAATGTAGCGCGAACGAATGGAGATGCTAGCTACTTCATAATAGAGTAAACTCTACAGTCGAGCAAAAAAGACTAGTCTAAACGCTGCATTTACAAATATTATTCACAAACTTCACTAATATAGTCCCATCAAATTTTGTAATGCATATATGTCATTAATAACATCTTCGGTAGTTGACACAATATGAGAGTTGAGTAGTCATAAATATAAACGTAGAATGACTCTAACTAACTAACCTACACACCCAGCAAGCTAGAGATTGTTAAAAAACAAAAAAAAATAAAAAAAATAAAAAAAAAAAGGAAGGAAAGATGGAAGGGCCAAAAGGGAGGTTGTGGGGCAAAGGCTACCGGCGGCTGAACGGCAGCATCCGCCGTAAAAGAAAGGTACAAGAGGTGGTGCGGCGGCTTTCCGGCCAGCGGATGAAGCTAATGCAGAAATTCATGTTGTCGAGGCCGAAGAAGCTTATGGTTCGGCTGCGAGATTCGTACGTAGGCATGATGATCAAACTCGCGGCCACAAGGATATACGCGGCGCATCGAGTCGCAGGATTTGATGAGATCAGTTGTTAATTGAAGAGCCCGATGATTGTAATCGAGAATCCATGGAAACCGTCTAATCGAAAATCCATGGAGACCGTTTAACATGTAGTTGGAAGAATTTGATGAATATTCCAATGGCATTTTTCAATGGTTTGTTAACTTCATTTTTTTTTTTAATATGCAATTTTCATTGAATATTTAACCATTAATGCAATTGTTGAAATCCAACGAAAATCCAATGAATAGCTCACTCCAACATGATATTGTCGCTGAAATTTTCGTTGAAATCTATTTGAAATTTTCAACTGAGAAAATAACATTGGAATATCTATTGAAACTGATATTGAAATTTTATTGAAATATATGTAAATTGAAATTTCATAATTTTAGTAAAGTAAAACATGCCCAAACTCAGTCCAGTGACAAGCGCATATTATAATTTCGAAGCCTATGGAATTTTCAAATAAAATAGAATATAGGGCAAGATATTGTTGTGTTTGAAATATAAAAATATTATAGAAAAATATAATTTCATAAAAAAATTAATAATAATTTTTAGAATGGAAATAAGATTATATAAAATAAACAACCAGTTGATATGCGTGTAACAACAAATTTTATGAAAAACAAAAAATTTTTGTACAACTTGATTTATTTCGATCAAATGATATTGCGGGTTACAATCTCTATTATTCCTCTGATTCTTCTCTTCATGAATTTGAGCTTGAAATCTTCAAAGAAGGATCTGACGATTGAATCTCCTTCAGGCTTGGTCTTGAATTTCTCTAACATTAATCTGGGGGTCGAATGACTTATTCCCGTATTAAATGTTAGGTCTTGACTTGATTGAATAAAACTTCTTGAAGGATTTCATTCTTTGATCTTCTTGAAAGGCGAATTTTGACTTGAATAACGTTGATAGCTTTTTCCCGGATCAAACACTATGTTGGTTGAACTTCTCAACGAACACAGCTTGAATGTCGTTGATATTCTTGGATTGATTTGAGAAGAGTGGAAGTCGCCTCTTTTTTTTCTTTGGGCATAATCCATGCAGTCTTCTTTGGGCATAATCCACGCGGCTTGAATGTCGTTGATATTCTTGGATTATGCCCACTTTATGATTAATGACTAATAGCTATAAATATATTAACAAGTAAATAGTAA